ACAACCATGTTGCCATATCATAGGCATAGTTACCTTTACTTCATTACTTGTTTAATACTTTTGCTTTTGTTTTATTTTAGAATGTATATGTTTAGAATAAGGGAATTTTTAACCTTTACTACTATAATAGCATGTAATGCTCCTAGAAACCTTTATTTTCCATATTAAGGGCTCGAGTTAATCAAATTAAGATGAATATTTTTACAACTATGATAGCTCTCTAAAATTTAGATTAATTCTTTTCTACAACGGTTACCTTTTAAAAATATATTTAAAAATTGGCTTTAAATTTTTGTACCATAATAATTACTTTTATTGGTTTAAATATTTTTATTATCATGGTATTTGATTTTTTTTGTTAATAAAATTAAGGTGTTACATCGAGTATCCAAAATTCACATACGATGTTTGTACGTAACAAAACTTATATCATTAGCTAGATTATCAAACAAGCTTCGCATGAGTACTTAAATCATTTCAATCAAATATCAAACAAGAAGATGGCAAACTCTAAAGTTTAGCCTGAAAAGCTATTATAATAGTATTTTACCATCATGACAAAGGCATATGTGCCGCGACATGTTATACACAAGCCATGACACATGGCACAAAGGTTAAATTGTCTCTGTGCCACATGCTGCAATGCATGGACCACATACCACAACATTTGCTCCAAAATGTGCTAAAATGATATTTTTGGCCTTGTTTTCCTGTGTTTTACTTTCTTTTATCTTCCATGCTTCTTATATTTTTAAAAATCAATAAGCCCAAGCTCAAACTACATATCTAAAGGGTTTTTAGGGATTTCAAACATTTTTAATTTTATTTTAAATATTTAAGTGATTTAACCTTTTGTTATGGTACACTTAGGAAGATTTAATGAATTATAATTATCGTTTAATATGGTGATTGATTGCAATAATTTTTGATAATGTCAAAATGAACATTACATAATCTCAATATTCTCTTACTTGACCATAACCTTAGACAAAGAGTTAGCTATAAGAGTTTTTGAAAGGTCTGGCCTATCAAGATTTCTCCTTTAAGAGTCTAGCTCTACTTGGCCCAGCTCTTAATCTCATTCTAGCAAAAACAAGATATACAAATTAAGACAATTATCAAAACTTAAAAAAGAAAAAGGAAAAAGGTGAAATTTACTAATATGAGTCTTTAAGATACAATAGAAACAACGAGGCCACCACTTATTAAAGCAAATACAAGCATCTTTCAACACTATCTCCACTTTGCATTTCAATTTTAAGTCTAAGGCCATGGTTGCTAAAGTGGCCTTATCCACCATTTATAGCCCAAATTGCTAGGATAGGTAGCGAGGGACGCATTGGTTAAGCCTGAACTGACCTGTTACTAATTAAGGATAGTAGTACTCAACAAAAATCTTCTCCAACTTAGTCTCAATAGTCATAAGGAGATATAATCTTCAAGGAATGGTGGCTAAAATAAAGATCCAATTCCTCATTTAGCCCTAAGGGTACTTGGACTAATAAGCCCAAAACTAATAAGGAAAGCAAAACTCCAAGACCAGCATCTTTAAACTTCACTTCAGCAACAACTTTACTTGCAAAAGAACTTAAACTAGTTTACATTCTTCAACTCTTGAGATGCCAAGCAAAGAGAATGGGGGGGACTCGATCTCTAGGAGAGCTTCATTTTAGGGAAGCTTAAGGAAATAAGCCACGACCTAAAGCCTCAAGAACCAAATGGGCCCATAAAAAGTCTAGAAAGGCCTGCTTTGCACGATCTCCTTCATCCCATCATAGAGCTAACATAGAGACATGGTCTCCAAAGCAATATGGCCTTCATGGTGCAAGTGCTTAGCCAAGGCCAAATGATAGACTACTACTTTTCCTTTACATGGGGCAAAGATCCATTGGCTCAAAAGCACTTATAAAAAGATGGCATGCTCTTCATTAAGGACTAGGTCAGCAGCAGGTAAAGCAACATACCACCTAATAATAGTATTATATGAGCCATCTTTGCAAAGGAGATCATAAGAAATAGGAGAGATCAAAGGGGACTCAGGATTCTCAAAGTTGATAGAAAAAAGGTTGGCTTGACTGTTAATGGGGATAAATAAATCTTGGAGCGTGACTATCACAAGGCTAAGCTCAAACAAAAATGCCTTATAGCCTGGAGACTAGAAAAAGAAAAGTGCCTCAAGTAACAGGATAGGGACCTTTAGGGTGAGAAGAGAGCTCAATTAGGTTATAGATACCAATCTCTTTCCAAAACCCTTAGTAAATACCTTACAGATGGTTTACCCATGCCATTTATGGAGGTAGAGACTAAGGCTAGTTTCAAATCTTCTTGCAAGAGATGTCCTTGAAAGAAGTAACCTTTTAGGCTAAGAGTAGGTCTTGTACGAATGTGAGTGATCATGGATTGGGCGAAGATGTTAACCAATGGGCTGTGGTGATTAACAAATACCCAATGTCTGTTATGTTACCCAGACTTAAGCTTATTAGAGAGTTGCTATATTAATAAATAAGGAAAAAGTAGAAGGAGAAAGTCAAATTGAAAAGGGACAAAACAGAGAAAGAAACTCACTAAAAATGAATATGGGCCAAGAATTTCTACTTGTAATACAACTTCTCTGAAAAGAAACAAACCTTCAGAGAAGAATCTCATAAGCAATGTGAGGAACAATAAAGATAAACACTAACAAGAATCACACCAAGAAGGGCAAGCTTGACGGGATTCCAGACTATAACCTAATCATCTATCAAAGCCCTCTCAAAATTGTTAGTAAGGGAGGAGCAATCAACTCTAGATGATGCCATGGTAATCAAAAAAGAAGACAGACTCGAAGAACAAAAGAGTAAGACAAATGGAACCAAACAAACAACACAAGCTTGAAAGGTATGAAAGTAGCAAGGAGTACTAGAGCAAATTGATGATAATGGTAGAAAAAAGGGGTTTATATTTACAAGGAGACAAAGAAACAAAGCACCAAAGTACAAAACTAAACAAACATGCCACGTGGCCTATAAACACTGATCACTCATACGAGAGGGCATTGTTTAGGCCTGAAAATGTCTACATTTAAATAAAAGCCCAAAATGGCAAGAAACAAATTGGGCCCAATAAGACATCCAATAAAGCAGAGATGGATCCATTTAGAATAAAACTTTCAAATTAGCATAGAGTCATGAAAGAAACGAGACCCTTAAGACATGAAGCAACTAAGCCAAGAGAACTGTTATTTGGACATGGGACCATTACTTAAACATGCTCCAAAATTCACGAGACCAGGCCTAGTAGGAACAGATATTTTAACACAACAACCTTGGATGAGCATTATAAATAGAGCTCCAAAGAGAAGAAAAAAACCAACAAACAACACAACAATCCAAACACTTCATTACTTAATTTCTCTTTTATATCATTTTGTACTAGATTTCTCTAATCCATTTTTTTTTACTTTCTTGTTTTTTTTTCATCTTTCATTTCTTTCATTCATTTCCTTTTTTTCTTTCTTTTTCTTTCCCAAATTGAATGGCTCTGATACCATATTAAATTTATTATATTAAGTATATTTAAGGATAGTATACTCTACCAAAATAACTTAAGCCATTTAATTTGATACTTCTTAAACTTTATATATCATGATTTATTTTTTAATCTTTTAAATGTAGGGCTTTTTTTTATACTCTAGTATTTTCTCTATTACTTTTTTTCTCTCTATTTTTTTCATTTTTTCTTCTTACCTGGGCTTGTACTTGTTTAGTCTTAGTTCCTTTCCTTTTTTTTTTCTTTCTTTTTCTTTCCCCAATCGAATGGCTCATGATACCATATTAAATTTATTATATTAAGTATATTTAAGGATAGTATAATCTACCAAAATAGCTTAAGCCATTTGATTAAATACTTCCTAAGCTTTATATATCATAGTACATTTTCTAATCTTTTAAATGTAAGACTTCTTTTTGCACTCTAATATTCTTTCTATTACTTTTTTTTTCTCTCTATTTTTTTAATTTTTTTTCTTTTTGCCTGGGCTTGTACTTTTTTAATCTCAGAGGCCTCAAGTCTATTCAATTTTTTTTTCTTCTTCTCTTTTTTCTTTTCTTGCTTCTTTTTAACTTGTTTTTTTTTTCATCTTTCATTTCCTTCATTCCTTTCCTTTTTTTTCTTTCTTTTTCTTCCCCAATCGAATGGCTCTTAACACCATATTAAATTTATTATATTAAATATATTTAAGAATAGTATACTCTACCAAAATAGTCTAAACCATTAGATGCTTCCTAAGTTTTATATATCATCATTCATTTTTTAATCTTTTAAAGGAAAACTTCTTTTTGCACTCTAATATTCTCTCTATTACTTTTCTTCCTCTCTATTTTTTTAATTTTTTTCTTTTTCTTGCCTAAACTTTTACTTTTTTAGTCTCAGAGATCTCCCAGATCTATTCAATTTTTTCTCTTTTTTTCTTCTTCTTCTCTCTATTCTTTTCTTCTTCTTTTTTAACTTCTTGTTGTATTTTTTTTTTCATCTTTCATTTCTTTCATTCCTTTCTTTTTTTTTTCTTTCTTTTTCTTTCTCCAATCGAATGGCTCATGATACCATATTAAATTTATTATATTAAGTATGTTTAAAAATAATATACTCTACCAAAATAACTTAAACCATTTGATTAAATACTTTTTAAGCTTTATATATCATAATCCATTTTCTAATCTTTTAAATGTGAGACTTCTTTTTGCACTCTAATATTTTGGACTTAAAATTTAATTCCTCTTTTCAATTTTCTTATAATTCTGCAATTCTAAATAGTTTTACACTACTAATTAAGTTATTTTTTTTCTCATTATCTATTATATCTTCGCATGCAGGCAAACTGAGGTAATGAAACCTAAAAATCTTCGCATGCAGGCAAACTGAGGTAATGAAACCTAAAAACCCTTGTTTACATTAAACTTCCATGTGTCTAGCACACAGAATTTTATTGTCACGAACAAATTTGTGAACAATCACTGTAACAATGAGCACTGAAATTGTCTTCCTTCCAAATAAATAGCACTATTTTGTAGTAATACTTAAAATGTTGCGAGATGCGAGGCAATCAATTTCTAACCTGGACTTTCTATTGTGTTGTTATTGAATGACATAAATGAAGTAAAAAGCAGGGGCGAAGAAGGAAGTTAATTTTAAAAACTAAACACTAATTCTGAACAAAACGAGGCGCCCAATTTCAATCAACATTAGGGAAAAAAAGACCATACACCAAAATTTCACATTGAACATCACACTCTTCCCTCGGTCTGAATTGGTGGCTTCTTTGCTAACCTGAATGCAGCAAACACTGATTCCGTTTGCTGAACTGTATCATTCTGGACAGGTCGCTCTGCATGCCGTGAAGATTTCCTTAGTATCTCCAAAAGACAAGTGCTTGACTTCTGAGATGCGGAGTTCGAGTTACGATATCGATCCTGTGCATTACCCTGATACTTGGCACTAACAGATTTTGGCGGTTGACTCTCCGTTTGAATCTGCAAGTTAGACCGATATAACATGGCATTATTAATGTCACGGCAGTCGCTAGGAATAAATGATGGAAGTGAAAGATACTGCACATATGATTCTTGCAGTGAATAACTGTAAGGTGACGTAGAACTTGCACTGCGGCCATGTCCTTGTGATAATTCCTGGTTTTCAACACCATATCTACCTTCTACATACCAGACACTTCTGGGATGTGAAACGTTACTTTAAAACCTTTTTTCTCACCTTTTACTCAAGTGTAATACTTCAATCAATTCAGTTAAAAGTTGAAGATAATAATAAAGAAAATTAAATAGTGGAAAATAATTTTTGTTTAAACAAATACGTATGTTCTTTTTTTACCAGCAAATACTTATGCCTAAGTTATACAATGCATGCTAACTTCCAATTCAGATTGTCATTACCGTATCCAAAGAGTCCTCTGACACTGAGATTGAAGTCCTGCTATTGCTGTCATCTCGCCCAAAAATGAAAGAACGAGCCTTGTTTGGTCCATGCTTATGAGATGAGGGCAACGAATGATTGGAAGCACGATTTAGGAAAGATGACTGCAATATTCACGAGATGGAAGTTCAGATATGGCATTCTAAACATAGTTCACAACATCTGCATGGCTAATAATAACAGAATCATGGTAGCAGACAAAAATATAGATATCTGGACCTAAATGGAAATTTTTAGATGCCTTCGCAAGGGAATGAAGAGGCCATTAAGAATCAGTAAGGACTTCTGATCTTTTAGACCAAGAGGCCCTATTTGTACCATATAGTTAGTGACAACTATTACTTTCTCATAGCTGACAGAATGAAATAGCAATTCATTTTCTAACATCCAGGAATTGAAACAAGCTCACCTTTGACAATACGTTAACGTTCTGTCCAATGAGCGGAGTATCAAAGAAGGCTGCATGGTACAGGAGGAACAATCAGTATTCTTACAAAACCCAGCAGCCTAAGTTTAGTTAAATTATTAGCAGCTTACAGGGTGTCCTTTTCCTCTTGGTGTCGGGCACAGTATTCAGTTTCTTTATAAGACTGAAAACTTCCCTGCAGCTTTCATCCTCAGCTGGTGACAAGAATGTAGTTTGCTCCTCCTGTTCCATATTACTTGACCAATTAAAGTTTGCATAAAATAATGAAACATAGGCCCTCAACGTGTGCAAAATTTTAAATGTGTTAGAACTTAGACCCCTACAAGGTTGCAGAGAAGAAAGGACTCACAATTTTGGCAGATAAGCACCGTTTAGGCAGCCTCTTCTGTGTTTTCTCGTCATCCGATGATACATATGCTTCGTCTTTATCTGAAAACATCTGAGGAATCATCTGCCTCACTTTTTCAAGATTGATTCGTGCTGCATTTGGCTGAGCAACATATTCTTCATCTTCTGATTCATTTTCAGTTTCATTTCTTTCCTCATCTTCTTCCTCACCAATTGATGTGTCTTTCAATCTTGAACTGCAATTAAGTTTCTGCAGTAGATTATCCATTCCAGCTGCGTCCTGTTGCTCCAGCCACTGCTGGTGAAGTTGGTCACGCCTTTCCTTATCAATTGGATTTTCTTCGTATCCAGTTGCAATCATATTGTTAAGCTCCTCAGCATCATCTTCATCGACGTCATCCTCATCTTCTTGGAAACGCGAAAGGTCATTGTCACTATCATCCTCCTCTTCTGCTTCTTCATCAACAAAAGCCTTAACAGGGTCACCACTTGGAGGTGGTGAAGAGGTGGCTGATCGATAGGGATGTGGATCTATATTTTCCTTTTCATTGTCCTCTTCGTCAGAAGAGCTGAAAGAAAACAGGAGAGCTTGTCATGTATAACTCCCAGAATAAGGAAAAGGGATAGTAGCACCTTTATTACAGCAGGTCGGCAAGTTTAATGGTCATATAATAATTTCTTAACGAAAAATATGCACTAGTCATCATTGCAATGTCAAATCAGCGCTTTTGTGCAGATCATTGTGAAAATTTCCCGACAGCAAATTTGCACCTATGCTAATCTCTAAACAAACGTATATATCATGGGGTAACAACCATTAAATTAAACATGTCCCATACTCAAAAAACCCCAGTACCAATATCCAAGCAAACGGCGATCAGAAAAATATATATAATTATAATGTGATTAATATCAGTAACACCCAATTCAAAGACCAAGGGAAGAAAGAAACTTTTTAAGCACTCACACATCATCAGAAGGCGCAGAATCAAGTTGCAAGTTCATTGAAGGGATTGGTGGTTCAGAAACTTCTGAAGGGTTCAAGGCCTCGTGTTTGGTGTCACTTCTTGGGGAATCAGAATAGAGCTCCTAGAAATTGCAGACAGACAAAAAATCAGTGTGCAAAATCTAATACTAGAAGGTAGCATCTTCTCAATCAGCCGACATTAAAACCTAAGTATCATTAACAGGAGCTCGAAACGCATTATCAACTTCTGAATCCATGACCTGAGATTTCAATAGGGACATTAGTCTAGTCAGACTGCAATACTGACAGTTAGATATGTTCCCAAAACCAATCAAAGGCTTAAACATTCAAATGACTGTATTCACTGTACATATCTTACGCATGCACATGACTACTGAAGAAGTTGAAATATTTAACAGCACTCCACTCTCATGACCATAGCAATATTCATCAGTTCTTAACATATTCGGTCGAATTAAATGAGCATATAGACTAACCATCGGACAAGGAATGCCTTCAGATTTACAACTACAGGAATTCGTAACCTCGCCTGATCCCCCTAAATGTAATGCGTCTGAACTATTCTTCATATCCGCAGGACAAGTAAATGTTTCTTGATGTTCGGCACGTTCAACCTTATCAGCTATCTCATCTCCCGGACAAGCACGCCCAGATACATCAGCCACTGGGACCTCCCTTGCCAAGCCATCATAATGATCGCCAATAGAAGAAATGGATCTGCGACAGACATATGCATGAGCGCAGTACCTAATGTAAAAGGCAACTAAAGTCCGAACTAAAACAGAATTCTAATATAATTGACCTACTTTTTTAAGAGCTCCAGCTTTCGCTGCCGAATTTTATCCAATAATGAAGAAATGGGCTTTTGAACGCCGGAAATAGGCTTAAAAGCTGCATCTCGAGTTTCTAGATAAGTAATGAGGCAATACAGAGTTAGAAGAAACTTCAAAGAAAGTCAGATTACACTAGTTCAAACACTCCTGGGAGGGTAACTATTATCCCAGGAATGCAGCTCCAGATTGCAATCATACCTCGTAGGAGTCTCTGAGACTCAGCTCGAAGCTTTTTAAGGTTTTCCAGTCTTTCCTGTAAAATCAGGGACTTCAAATTTGCAAACCAAACAATGCCTGCATAAAAGAAATTTGCACCAAAAATATGAGGCCAGATGGGCAAACCCAAAAACGTACCTTCTCAGCCCCTTTTTTGTTAGATGTAGATTCTTTAACTTTTTCCTCGCCTCTATCACTGTCGAGGATCTTCTTTCTCTTTCTCTTTCTCTTATCAGAAAAAGTGCCCAAGCTATGTTGATTTTTCTCTAGTTCATCGGTCTTCGGATCCTCACTCTCTAGCCCCATAGCCTCCGTTGAGCAAGCTTGGCCATTTCCTCCAATGTCTTCTGCCACGGAATCAAATTCCGAAACCCTCGTCTCACTCAAACCATCTTCCTTGACGCTTTCTGGAGCGTCACGCTCGATGCTTGGTCCATTTTTATCGCCAATAGCCTCAAATGAAAATCCTGATGCCAAGTTGAGATCCTCAAAATCTAGACCAATTAAGCCATTGGGATGCGAGGCATCAGCTTCAGAAGAATTAGCAGGAGACGGAAAAGAGCTACTGTCAGGCGAATTAGGGCGGGGATATTCAGGAACTCTAAATGCTTTCTTCAAACGCGTCAACCTTCGTTCTCGCACGGGAGAGGAAGGCCGCAGCTCAATGTCGTCGTCGCTCTCCATGTCTGATCTGAATTGTTGCTTCGATTGAATAACAAAGCTGGCTCTCAAAACTTTGGGAGTGGATCTCATGATTTTTAGGAGGAAAAAAATGGCGCTAAATGTTTTTGAAATTTGGGTTAAGGCGCTACGCTTGCACAGCTTTTTTTTTAAAAAAAAAAAACTTTAATTTCATCTTTTTTATTTATTTTCCGTGATCCGGTTCCGAAATCACGTCCTCCGACTTTTGGAGGGACTGGCTTCGTGGTGTTTCTTGAACCGCGGTCTTCTTGTACGGTTTTACTGCAGCCATGTATTAAAAGAGAAATTACCGGTTTTACTTATTTATATATATATATATATATATTGTTCATTTATAATAATTTTTTTGAAAAATACCAATAAATTTTTTCTGAATTATTTAAATAATAATTTGATCCTTCCAAATATTAATAATTGAACAAAAAATTATAAATTATCAATAAAAATAAAATAATCTTTTTAATTTAAAATTTATTAACAAAAAAATTTTAATAAATTTTATTGAAATTATGATATTTTGGAATATTATATTGTTATTTATGTGATTCAAACAAATTTTATTATTATTTTTTATTTTTTTATCATTTACATTTAGTATTTGATATTTGAAATTATGCCGTGCTTTGAGTAATAGAAAGTAAATCAAGTCATGCCTCTAGAATATTAATTTCTTTTTTCAATCCTTTATCTTCTTATTAAAGACAATCACATTTGAAGCATGTTTGAACACTAAATGTTGACACTTTTTTTAATAGAAATTTAAATCTTGATTCATTATATTATGAAGAATTAACCCCTTCAGTTAGATCCAACCCCTATTGATAAACATTAAGAAGAATTTCATTTAAGGGCCTAAGTAGCAACATATCTTTTAATGGGTCCCAAAATATTTCAAAATCTTAGTTCAATCCACAAGGATTAAATTAAAAAAAAGTTGAATATAAAAAATATCAAAATACCCTCAGTTCAAATATTAAAAGAAACCACCAATCGTCGTCGCCGAAGCACCATGGACCACGGTCAATGGTGGCCAAAGACATGGAGAATTAATTTCTCCAAAAGTGGCTAAGGTGGGTGTAGAACTCAAGACCTCTCAATTCACTAAAAAAATTTAAATCACTAAGCCACTCAACCCATTCAATCATATAAGGCATAAAATTATATATGTCATAAACCTTGTTTTCAAATAACTTGATTATTATGTTACTTGTTAATCATGTAACTTTACTTGTTAATTACTTAACTTGTCTTGTTGACCTCATCACTCCTGCAACAAAACTAAATTATTTGTTAATTGCGTAATTATACTTGTCAATACTTTAATATAACTTGTCAATTAATTAACTCTTCTTATTAAGTTCGTGACTCTCACAACAAAGTTATATTACTTGTTAATCGTGTAGCTGTCATTGTTAATACATTAACGGGACTTGTTAATTACTTGAATTTACTTGTCAAATTTATGACTCCTTCAACTGAACTATATTACTTGTTAATCATGCAACTTTACTTATTAATTATACAACAATACTTGTTAATTATGCAACTTGACTTGTTAATACCATAACAAGACTTGTTTAATTGTTGTTTCAAAAAAGCAACTAAATTACTTGTTAATTGCATAATATTACTTGTTAATTTCTCAACAATACTTGTCAATTATCTATTATCACTTATTAAATAAATATATAATTTACACAAAAAATTGAGTTTGTTAGATAACGAAAACGATGATAGTCAGGTCTCCCTTATTAATTTTCATCAAACTAGATATTCAATTATATAAGCATATATGTATATATATAGAGAGAGGGGGGGAGGGGGGAGGGGGAGTAGTACCCTAAAAAACAAATATAATCTTAATAATTAAAATTAAAGAAATGACAAGCTATATTAGGCTTTTAACAAATATACTTCTTGTCATAATACTCAGGAAGTTTGAAAATAAGATTTACTATACAAATAATTTCGAGAGAGTCATGAAATTAATAAGTAAAGTTGCATAATTAACAAGCCAAGCTTCGCAATTAATAAGTATTGTTGTATAATTAACAAGTAAAGTTACATGATTAACAAGTAATGCAATTCAGTTTAAGGAGTCATGAATTTGATAAGTAAATTTAAGTAATTAATAAGTCTTATTAAGATATTAACAATGACAATTACACAATTAACAAGTAATGTAGTTCTGTTGTGAGAGTCACGGACTTAACAATGAGAGTTAAGTAATTGAAAAGTCTTGTTAAAATATTAATAAGTATAGTTACACGATTAACAAGTAATTTAATTTTGTTGCAGGAGTCGTGAGGTTAACAAGGAAAGTTAAGTAATTAATAAGTCCTGTTAAGATATTAAAAAGTAAAGTTACGTAAATAACAAGTAACACAATAATCAAGTGACTTGGAAACAATTTTTATTATATATATAATTTTATACATTATATGATTGAATGGGTTGAATGGCTTGGTAGTCAGAATATTTTTGGTGAATTAAGAGGTCTTGGATTTTATACTCACCTTGGCTACCTCTGGAGAAGTTAATTCTCCAGCCACCGCCAACGGTGGTCCAGCAGGCGACTGGAGTTCTAGTGATGGAGGTCCAATGGTTACCGTCGCTGGTGAGGCTCCAATCATCGGTGGTGGTGCTTTAGTGATGGTATTTAGTGTTTTTTTTAAATATTTAAACTAAAGATATTTTGATCTTTTCTACATTCAACTTATTTTCAATCCAAATCCCGAGGACTAAACTGAGGTTTTAGAATTTTTGGGGCCCTCTAGAAGATATGTTGCTACTGATATCCTTAAATGAAATTCTCTCTAAACATTAACCTCTTTTAGCAAATAAATATGTCACAAGTTTCTTTAGTTACGTGACACTGTGGCTAGTAATAACAATTTTACAAAGGGTTTAGATTAATTGAGTAGATGATAATAATATAAAGGATTTTTCAACATACAGCAGGTGATGAAATTAAAAATCCTCTTTCAATAAATATCTAGTATAATAGTTAGAGTCAACAATTCAATCAACCCAAATAAACTTAAAAAAAATTATGGTCAAACTTAACAAAATAAGGTTTTTTAATGTCTAGCCTACCCTAGCCAATTCAAATAAGCCCAAAAAATTTATGTCAGGCCTAACAAGGTTTAAGCTGGACCTGAATAAAAAAATTTTATTTTTACTAATATATAAAATACATTGATTATTAATTAATGCTTTAAATTTTAGGTTATTTTATACTAATATACTGTAGTGCATTGTTATATATATTTCATTAAAAAAATTAAAATATCAACATTGTCATGTTTTATTATTTTAATCTATAAAATACATCAAAATTAAAATAATATTTAAAATGTATTTTAATATTAACTTTTAAATTTTAAGACTCACATATTTTTTTAAAAAAATTGAGTCTTCTACATTTTTAAGTATCCTAAAAAATATATTTTTATATTTTTTATAAAATAAAAATAATTGATATCAACATAAAAATAAATTAAAATTAATCTAAATAATGAAAAATAAATAATTTGGGTATTTAAGCCAGCTTGAATAAACTTGAAGCTTAGAGAATAATGATGAAAATAAGCCAAGCCCTTTTCAAAGGCTTATGCTTTAGCCTATTTTAGGTTTAGCCTGGCCTATTTATTAAATAGGCATAGTTTTTTAAGACATAGCTTACAAGCCCAACAAACTGACCAATTCACATACATACATACATACATATTATATAATATATTACATACATATTAGTTTCATCATTTAATTTTTGATTGATATATTCTTTTTCATTTTTTGTCATGTTTTCAATCAGATTAAACTTAAATATTAATTTTAATATTATTATATTTTGTATTGCACTGTAGTTGATAAATCCTTTTAGTTATTATATATTGTACTTGATAAGTCAGATTATATATTTATACTAACAATTCTAAAGTATATTTGATATGTCTAAAATTAAAATTTGAGCTTATTTAAAAAACTTACTTTTAAATATGCTTTTAACTAGGCTTTTAGGTCAGGCTATGCTTTGTATAGGCTTGGCTTGAGTTATGAAAAAATTCTTATACAAATCTTAGGTCAGGCTTAGGCCTTTAATTTACCACACAAATTCATATCTATTTGGCTAAAAACTAACTCAACATAATTTTATTAAGGTTCAAACCAAGCTTGGCTATTTAAATAACCCAACCCAAATATACATGTCTTGCTCGAATCACCGGCTACAACAATATCCAAGACTTAAATGTTGCATAACTTGTTAAATTAACATTATTTTATAGACTGGAATGCATCAACCTTCCCACCATTTTACCTCAGTTTTGGATACTTTCATTTTATTTTTAAAACCTTGATGATTTCCTAAAATTAATAGTGATAAAATACAAACTTCGGTTCTACGTTTAAGATTTCATTTCTAGCGTGTTAAACCAAAATATTCCTCTATAAATCTGCATGGTATCTGAAAACCATTCTAGCCGCCTAAAAGCTTTAATAGATATATATTTTTTCTACCTTGTTACTTATATTTTGAAATTTTTATTTGTGCAAACTTATTTATTCGGTATCTTTAAAACAAATTAAATGTACATGTTGACTAAAATAAAATTTTATACACGCATGTAAAACACATTTATTGCAAAAGGGATTTTAATATAATAAAAAATAAATTAGTCAATACAGTGTATATTTATTTTTCTTTAAATTTTTTATTTTGATACAGTATTTTTAAATTATGCATTTAAATATTGTCATATTTGATTATTTTAAGTTCTTTAAATTGGGAGGATAATGTAACATCTTAAATTCTTAATTCAAAAACTAATTGTTAATTAAGGATAAAATAGTAAATTAGTGAAATGATTATGTTAATTATGATTTTAGACGTAAATTGACATTTTGGGTCATCGACAATTGAATGACCAAGATTGAGTGGAAAAATTACAATCTGAAACAAAGTGTTTGAGCTATGGTGAGAGTTTTCTCGTTATGCTATACGTTACAGCATATGCATGGTGCATCGCGGCACATGGTAAAA